ACTTTTGGGATTGACTGTATAGCCAATACATCCTTAAATCCCACGCTTACAGTTTCCACATTCATTTTCAGAAGTCGTAAAAACAAACGAATGCATTTCCTTTTGTAAATATGAGGAAAGACTATATAAAAGGAAGATCTTTTCTCTCTCGTTTGACTTTCGTTCGGTGAAAGAGTCAGTGAGCCTGAACCTGAACCTAATTACAACAATCTATTGTGCGGAAAAACCGCATACAAACCACAAGAATGCGTTTCCGGTTCAAGTTCCTCCGAGTTCAAGTACAGTAAAAATAAATATAACTCAGAACCAGGAATAATGTCGAAACGAATAAAAAATAAGGCTACTCGTTGTCAGACATTTTATTGTTTAACTAAGCGTGTACATGAAAATGGGGGTGCGGCTTTGCATAATGTTGATAGGTCAGAGCAATTACTCAGAAATCGTTGAGCATTACTACTGCTAATTTATGAAATTGGAAGCGTTGCCAGTATCCCAATCCACCAGGGCACGATAGCGTGACCTGGAACGACAGGAAGTTTTCCTTTCGCACGCGATCATTCTGTCCGATCCATCGATTGGCGGACAGCGGACGGGAAACTTGAAGTCAACTGAACGATTCCACTGTCCGTAACTGAACGTCTCAATTACGGACAGTGGATGTGTTGTGGCTGTGGAGAAACATATGTAAGCAAGATGTTCGCTTCGTGCGATGTTTCGAGAAAAAAAAATCAATCGAAAATGCACCGAAATTCTTTCGATGAATTAACAGGGTTAACTGCGTTTAACCGGAGACAAGAATTTCGTGAAGCGATTCGAGGAATTTCGCGGATTGGCACAGCAAGTCGAGAGATACGATAATGTTCATCCTTGGTCATCGAGTTATCAAGGCCGCGCGTTCTCGAGCCGACGAAAAATAAATGAGATCCTGCAACCGTTGGATTTGAACGCGTCGTAACCGTCACGTTCGTGCATCGTTAATATCGGCGAGGGATTTTTCGAATACCGAACGTCTCTCGTCAAACTGCTTTCCGTTTCACTAAAATACTGATATCCGCCCAGCAGGACACTCTCGATCCTCTAATATTCAACGCACATTACCACGATTACTCGATCTTAATAAAAATGAATTGCTTTCAAGGACATTGCGATCATGATTTTCCTAAATGATATATGAACATTCGTGTTTCCCACGGTACAGGAAATTTTCGAACGGCAGACTAGAAAATACCTGCGGGGCTTGTATTAAATACGGAGATGATCGTCGTCCTGGGGAATAAGTGGAACGTACGTGAAGATCGTGTCCGTTATTTCGCCATGACGTCACAACGACTTGTAACCGCTGTAACAGCATTCGTGGAGAAAGACTATGCGTGATGTCAGCCTTGCGATGCTCCGTCTCTATATTCTAATTCGCTGGTTCACGCGTTATAACGCTTCCTTGATATAAGTTGCTTGGTGCTGAGTGCATTTTTGTTTACACATTCGTCACATTTGTGTAACACTTAAACTAATGCGAATGGAGGAAAGGAAATAGAAACTGTTAGCAATCGTTGACTAAATAATTAAAATTAAATAAACCTGTAAAGATACAACTATTCTAATCAAATCTTATATTTTGAGAGCCTGTTCGATCGATATTTGAATCGAAGTGCATCACTCTTAACGAAGGACTTTCAAATTTACGTAATCGGGGTTTTCAGTACACATACGTATGAATACGTAATATGAATTTCAATCGTTGATTATTAGTTTCTCAAGAGAAAGCACCATTTCGTTTTTTAAAAGTAATACGGAAATTGCGCAACGCGGACGATGAATGCTCGTCGTGGGTCGGTTTAATTGGACGTTTTAATTAATTCGTCACTCGTCTTCCTTTCGATTGTTCCGAGCGTACGTCTAATGGCACATGCTTCATCAATTTATGGAGCCAGGTTACAGAATTATCCTACTAATTAAGCGTAATTCCGCCGCCAAGTTCATTGTCGAGAGTAACTAATTTAGATACGTCGCTTCAGATAATGAGATACGTGGCCTTCATAAAGTGAAAATGGAATTTTCGTTGTGATGCAATTAGTGAGAGAATAGACAGAAATTCTTTTAGATACATCCTAGATTTTTGTATTCATTCTTTCTCATCGTAATCTGTTTTTAACGAATGCGAATCAATGATCGGGCTATTGGATGCACCGAGTCAAACAGAGGTCGTAAATCTCTGTCCCGATTTCTATCAGTACCACTGATCACGCGAGATCGTTTATGAAAGTAGGGATGTTAATTGACTGAATACGGACTACAACACTTATAATTTAATAATCACTATTAACAAATACAAGTACAGCAGAAAATATCTCAGAGTACTTTGATACTTCAACGGAGCGCAAAGGTAAAACTGACCTGACTTTACCTGATTTAGATAAAAATGATAAGAACTCACAATTTGTTTACAAAATTCATTTATTAAATCTCCATTATTCATCAAAAATTATGTTATAAAATCGTAAGCATGTTCCGAGCATAATCTATATAAATACGTCCTATATTTTTTTCATAAGAGATTACCAATAGATCATTCGGATGAAACCCAGTAATTCTAGTGTTAAAAAGACCTGCCAAACAGGTATTTCAAACTTCCACTCCGGTGCGTATAGGCAGGAAAATCTTCAATTTTCCAATAAGAAGCAATCGACAAACTGTATAATGGCTATGCAAGCAGTAGCAAAGTGGAATGAAAGCATGATCGCAGCTAGTGCAAGTACATTTTTATGTCTCTGCTGTATGGTAGTAGCAAATTGTGTGTTCTTATACCTCGGCGCTCGTCCTTTTTTTCGCAATCACGAAACTGAAGAGGTAGGCCTGTCTCTTCCTTTCTCGTCGGTGTTTATATCTCGCCGGCAGTGGCTGGTCGCGTTAGGTTCCTCGACCTTGCCGGTCGTGCAGGTTTCAACTCGCGCAACCACCACTGGATCTCGCATACCGGGTGTGCCTTGCTCGGAAGATCTGAACTTGAATGAATCGAAGAGTAAAAGCAAATCAACATGGATGTAGCTGGACTAAATAGAATTTGACTTGAGAATATTATAATGAAAACTAGAATTATAATTACTTTTTTCTTGTCCTTTTTCTGTTTTTTAATTAAAGCAGTTGTTTTTATCAAAGATTAATTTTCCCAGACTTTCGATTATTCTTTACCGCGATGGGAAGCGTTGAATTTATTCTTGCTTTTCACCTCCCGCATGGTTCTCAGTACGGGTCCTCCACCTCCTACATCAGGGTTATTATTAAGCCTCGCTATTTCCGAAAACCATCACGATTCGTTCGTCGTCGTGGGTACACCATGTGCACGACGTTCTTCCTGGAAACAGCGTGTCATGAAAAACTCTAAAAGGATCGGAATGCCCGTCTCCCACGTGCGCGTCGTTGCATCCATCGAGTCTCTCCCATCCATGAACGGATTTAGATTTATCGGACGTTGTTGTTACACGCTAGCCATTCGGCTTATTTAACCGCTTATTTTCTAACTGTTTTATTGCCCCGTCCACTTTGAATGTTTACTATCTATTTACTGGTTTTAACCCAGTTTCGATTTTGCTTTCAGATCTAATGATCAAGAGCATTGAAATTAATTCATGTACTACGAACTGAGCTATAACTATAATTATGTAAGTTAACAGATTTCAAAATACATCCGCGAAAGGCTGGATTCCACAACACAAACTTGATTTCTGTTAAGTAGTCATCCTAATCACTGAGTACCATTAATGGTATGATTCAGACGCTAATGGGCTGTTTTGCATACAAACAATGGAAACGTATATTTATTAGCAGAGCCTATCGTTCGAGCCGTATAATGAGAATCATCAATGAGAAATTGCTGACGATAATGAGATAATGAAAGATTAAGTAACCGATTATGTCCATTGCTCCCTTGTTCAAAATCGTTAATAACCTTTTGGCGGAAGATCAACAGAAATCTAAATCCAGAAGATCTAAATCCACCGAACGTTATCAATCTGCAACGTAGATTACAGACTGGTTTCACCAGGAAAGGAGAACTCCTGCTAGTTGAATATCCATACTTAAAAATGATTTTATCACGTTGCTTGAAACAATGATAACTGTGAATAGCGTTATCAAGAGCAAGCAATTCTAATACGTATTTACACACAGTAATTGGAGTATCCACTCTTTGTTTAAAAAAACGTTACGCACGTCACAACCTTGGAACTAAGGTGGTTCAGATACTTAAATAGTTTTTGTCTCGATTGTGTGTAACTGCTTTAAAAGAAAAAATGAGTTATCTGACTTTGTTCTATCTTACATGTTAAAACAATCTCAATGAAACCCAAGGTTACTCATCACTGATTTTTATTCTGTTCCAAGAATGTGTGTGTGGAAAGATAGTAAAACCGTTGTAATCCTTTTTAGAAGCAGATAATTATATACTCAATTTTATCTGCTTCTATCATCATCATCTGATATATAGAGATAGAAACTCCAGAAATTAGATCTGAAAACCGGCGGTATACAACGATAGAAATTGATTACCATATTTCACGTGCCTGGAATGCCAAACGAATGCCATACTATAAGGCTTATTGCACACAAGCGTGTGCTGTCCTGTAGACAGGATCGCCTGGTAACATCTACCTGTTACTTAATTAATCGCTACTCACGTTTTAAAATAAAACCACTTCCACCTCGAATCTCGCTTGGCAGGAAATTAAACGGCTTTTAGATCATTCGCGTCCGACCCAAAACTATTGTCCCAGTTTTAATCAGTCCTAAAATCTCTCCTCAGAAGTGTTTCGTAATGAGATTTCCTTTGTACTCTTTAATTTTTAAGAAGCTAGTCTCTATTGCATGATACATGAGTTATAGAATACAGTTCCGATAACGGATAGATAAATGGATTTTTTCGAATACGAATGTGGTGATAGATGTCTAGAGTGGAGAAAGGAGGAAACAGTTGATAAGATCGTTTGTTCATTCGCATGTTGCAGAATTTCCAGGATCTGGAAGCGGAAAAGGCAATAATGGGCTCTATTGTGTACTGCATACATCATAAGGATGGCTGCAAGTGGTCCGACGAACTTCGAAAGTTGAAGGTAACATTTTTTTCACCACAAAAAAAAGTTTAACACAAAGTACTATTTACTTAGAAGTTCAGAAAGAGTAGTACTTTAACGTCGCTATACCGTTTTCCACGAATAATAATTAGCGTTTTTGTACAACACGAGTAATTTACAAAACCGCTTCATTATGCATTTCTGGTCTTGAGCGACCTTGCGTTGATAGGTCATTGAACTGGTCTCGGCACGGTTAACTCCCACACAACTTACGGATAACTTGTGCCGACCTTCCGGTCATTTATAAAAGCAATTATCGGTCTCTTTATCAGACGATGGGCTTCATTGAATTACGAATCAGAAATAACTTCACAAATGTTGATATCCACAGAAATATAATTAAATCTAAATAATACCGCATGTTTCAATCATACTGACGATAAGATATTTTATTATTCTCTAATTCAAGAATAACTGAAGGATATGAGGAACGATATAATTTCGAACTTAATTTGAATGATTATTTAAAAATTATAATTTGTGTATTATTTAGGCTCATCTGAATACCTGCAAGCACGACGCGATTCCCTGCAGCAACAAGTGTGGCGCAATGATACCGCGTGTGCTGATGGAAGATCATTTGAAGTACACTTGCGCCCAGCGGCGAACACGCTGCGACTTCTGTGCCAAAGAATTCACCGGTCACACGCTCGAGGTAACCGAGGAGTTGCATTAATTAGAAAAGAATCGCGATCGAGTGCCAGCCCCGTTAACCGTACAGAAACTTGTAATAGTATTATGGGAACGGATGGAAGCGAAAGCACCGCACGAGTTCAAGCGAAATTTCTCGAATTCTTTTTTCCTTTTTCCGCATATTCATGTTCTTATGCTACAAAAGAATCCTTGTGGTTAAACGTTATAGAATACGTTTCGAAGAAAGTAGTAGAGGAAAACTGACTCTAATTCTGTTCGGGAACGTATTATTGTTGTATCGTCGGTTTTCCTAATTTGTGTAGTAGTATTTATATTTAGTTAGGTACTCTGGTATCGCAACACAATTTAAGTAGCTTTCTTTAAAGGAAAACTTTCCCATTTATCTTGCAACATCAGTAACGTTCATCGCATTTTTACAGAAACATACAGGGACGTGTGGCTACGAGCCGCTGTACTGCGAGAATAAGTGCGGTATGAAGGTGCAGAGAAGGCATCTGAGCCAACACAAGTTAGGCGAGTGCGCGAAAAGGCTGGTCGCCTGTCGTTACTGCAACAAGGAGTTTGTTTTCGACACGCTCGGTGCTCATCACGCCAAGTGTGGCCGCTTTCCGGTGGCTTGCCCACATCGTTGCGAGACTGCAGTACTGCCGAGGGAAGATCTAGAAGTCCATTTGAAGGACCATTGCACTACGCATCTACTATCCTGTACTTTTAAGGATGCCGGCTGTCGTTTCAAGGTATATTGATCTATTGATCTACATCGATACTATTTAAACTGAAGATATCGTCTCTGTTCATTTTTTCGTGCATCGGATTTATTTAAAATAATGTTCTCTCGTTACAGGGAAACAGATTCTCGTTGGACAAGCACTTGGAAGAATCTGCGAAGATGCACTTGAGTCTGATGTGCAGTGTCGTTACGAAGCAGCAGCATCAGATAACCAGTTTGAAATCGGCGATTAGCAAATTGTCGTTAAATTACACGGGTACGCTTATATGGAAGATTACGGATTACAGTGCTAAGATGTCCGAGGCGAAGGCTAAAGAGGGAATGGAACTCGTTAGCCCACCTTTCTACACTAGTCAATATGGTTACAAGCTACAGGTGAGCAATAATTAAAATTGTATTCGAAGTCTGTTATTCAAGGATTTCTAACTAAACGACAATTTTTTTTAAGGCGTCACTTTTCTTAAATGGAAATGGAACTGGCGAGGGAAGTCATATTTCAATATACATAAAGATCCTTCCCGGCGAGTATGACGCACTGTTGCGATGGCCATTTTCTCACAGCGTATCCTTCACCATATTCGACCAGACGGTGGTCGCTGAGAAAGCGTGCAACATCGTAGAGAGCTTTATACCGGACCCGACATGGAAGAACTTCCAAAGGCCCAGTCGCGAGCCTGACTCGTTGGGTTTCGGTTTCCCCCGATTCGTTTCCCACGAGATGGTGAAGAAACGACACTTCGTCAAAGACAACACGATGTTTATCCGGGTGAAAGTCGATCCTAGCAAAATCGTTGCCGTATAAAATCAGATTGTACTCTTGGGCGAACTGTGTCATACTAACTGTGCTGTCGTTCTACGTAACACAGTTTATCGTCACATCGTGCGCACCCTCGTCGATGTGATATATACTTATTTCTTTTTTTGTATGTGATATCGTTGCGCTAAACGATCACATCTCGTCTCTGCTTCATCCAAGTCAGTGACGTGCTGCATTTTTTTTAAAAAAGGGGAAGATGAGATCTTGATTTCGGGAGAATCAATCATAGTGGGCGAGAATTAACGATAGTTGATATTTATTAATGGCATAATTTGTGTGATAGGGCTAAGTACTTTACATGACAAGCACGCGGTACTTACGTCCTTCCACCGGCGGTATAATTATGGTGAAACTGAGTCAGGATAGCACGGGTATACAACCCAAATATTTACTATTAAAGGGGAACCAGTTAAATAATTTGTGTAATTGTTTTAACTTTCCTCATACTGCCGCAGTTTCGTTACTATGTAACATACGTCTTCTCATTCTCTACTGAAATCTGAGCGAAATCTTTCAGTTTACATGTAAGTTTCTAGGAATTGAAATCAAAGATTATTAAAGGACTGTGTACACTATAAGCTTAAAGGATGTAAATATTGTGCAAAAAAAATAATGATACGTAGCTCTGAACGAGTTGCGGGATAATTAATTGATGATTTACCGATGTAAATACAAATACACGTTTACTACGTACGTTAGTGATAATGAGAAATTGTGATTGAGATGCTAGTGACTGTATGTTATTATGATTTAAAAGTAAGATAATAAAACTTATTATGTCACACTCGCATATTGAATATACAAAACAAGAAACGTACGATTTTATTGCCCATCTCCTTTATTTCCATACACATCAATGCACATTAATAAAAATAGATCATATAAATATCTCATGAATATGTACAAATATACGCATATTTACAAATTTCCTAAAATAGTATTACAACAATTTGTGGATTTATTATATAGAAATTATTTAATTTTTATCATGGATGGTGCTGAGACTGTGTCATCCTTCCACCCTGAAGAAATAAAGTTTACATAATGGATTATATGAAAATTCTGTAACCTCAGTTTAATTTTTATATAATACACTTACACTCTGAATTCTTAGTACTTGATCCAAAGCATGTGGCAATAAAGGACGGACACTGTTGATTTCCATAGCAGTTAAATGATTCAATTTAGCATGCAATCCTTCGCTTTTCAAAAATGCGTCTATAGATGTGCGCAGTTTCGACATTCTTATGTCCCATATATCCTACGAAAAGCAGTTAATTAATGTAGTAACATAAAATTTAGTAAGACGAACAATGGGACAAAAATCTAAACATGATCTTATTACTTTCACTGCTGTCCTTATTGCATCTGCATCAGGTATGTCGTCACTCGCAATGCTCAATAAAAGTTGTGCCTCATCTATGTAATGATTACTAGGCATCTTCGTAAACAATCTACAATAATCGATTGATGTTTGAACAGGCAAACTGAAAAAGAAAAATTTGTTTATCCTACTCACTTCGATAATTTTTCTTGCTCCTTCGTTTCATTCAAACTTTCAGAGTCCATCCATTCTTGATGGATTATACGACACTTTTGTTGCTGTTTCAGATTTACTGCGAGCCAAATTGGGACTTTGACAGGTAAGCCAGCTCGAAATGGGCCCACCGAGCCTGAGATCAGGTGAATCGTGTCGAAATTAAAGTTCGGCACGATGGTGACCAATTCTTTTTCACCGAAAAATTCTACTTCACTTGGATCCATTACTTGTATAATAAACGAAATCTTTTATATCAGAAAGACTTCTGTCAAAAGAATTTCGACATTTTTCAAAATACTCTTGCACCCTTATTCCACTCGTTCCACGCGATGGTGCGACCGGTGTGACTACTTGTTATGCTATAAGTTGTAAGATTACTTTCCCTCCATTTTTAAGAGAAGCGAATGTGGCGTCGTCTACAGTCTAGATAAGTACTAAACTACAAAGAAACCCGGATTTCGTATTTTGTGAAAGTTAACAAAGTGGAACCCTATGTTGTAAAACTTAAAAAATTTAGTGATCAAGAATAAATAAGCAAGACTATCGAGGGCAATAATTACGAAACAACACGTCAGGTAAGCTGAAAAATTATTGTGAATACTAAATGAAGTTGTAAAAATATTTCACTTCCAAGCGATCAAACCCGATGATAAAGAATGCGGGGTTAGAACAAATTTTGGTAACACAAAGGACTTTCGCAATAACTTAATACTTTCAATAAAATTTAATAACAATTATATTGATAGGTTTTATGATATTTTTATTTTCATTGAATCGTATACAGAACATAGAATGAACATTAATATGTAAATCATTTCCGTCTGATTTTTTACTATTTCAAAATTCGCAGGAAATTCATATATTTGATTTTTGAAACGGATTTTCACGTCACAAATAAAATTTGTATAACAGTGTTGAAAAAAAATTTGAATTTTCAATTTACGTCCGTACTTACTGAATACAATGAGATCGTTCGTCGTTATAAATACATTGGATGCCCAATTAACACAGAGATGTCTAAAACATATCTGTTAGGTACTACCAGAGAGGAACTGAGAGTGCTCACGGCCGGGTTTTGCGTGTTCCCCATACTAGTGCTGCCCCCAGCTATTTTTTGCAGGGATCTGACACGTTCAGTTCAACGTTTAGCATTTACCAGAACCAACGAACAGAGACCTGCCCTGTTCAGTTCAACGTTAGCATTTACCAAAACCAATGAACAGAGATCTGCCCTGTCCGGTTCAACGTTTAGCGTTTACAAGAACCAACTGAATAGAGATCTGCCCTATCCAGTTCAACGTTTAACATGTACTTAGAATAGAACGAAAGAATCATTTCAACGCTAGAAAATACGTAATGAAGACGTTTGCAAGCGTATTGTTAATAATTATCAGTATTTCTTAGGAGAATGTTTATATAAGTGAGCTTCGAATTTAATGAGAAACGGGGTTATGGAAATAAAGACTGGATTTAATTCTCTTCAAATTAAGAGAGAAAGAAATTTATTACGACCTGAAAGACGCTCCTCCCGTTCCCTGTATCCAGAAATTTATATTACTTTATATGCCATCATATTAGGATCATCCCGTTGTTCTTCGTCCATTCGCCTGTAATTCCGTTAATTTAATCTCGAATTTGCAGTACGCGCATCCACCGGTGTTTACATAATTGTCGGAGTTATTTATTATTTCTCGCGACGGCTCGGCCGACTGTCTGAACGTTACACCGTTTCTTATGGCCCGTCATAAGTCGTATGAAAATATTATTAATGCCGAGCGATGCTGTTAAATCTGTTAACCGTTAATGTCGAAACAATATTTTAATACAAACGAATTTCTTTTACTAATGTGACTCCATTTATTTTATTGTATAAAATACTTGTCCCCATTTTCTTAGCATGGTATGTTTACTTGTAAATGGGCAGAATCCCTAAGAATGACCGTTTCTTCCATCGTTAATAACGTTTCTGTTAATATAACAGTAGCTTGTTGTGATATGGAGAGGTGTGCAAAATTTGACACTCATATCTGC